TTTTTTTACAAAAGCCTATTACACACAAATTGGAGAACTACGTAGCTCAGAATTTGGTTCTTTTGATTTCAGAGTTGTATCATCATCCACATCGAGCTCTTCCGATAAAGGGTTCAGAGATGACAGTGATGAGCTAGAAAAAGAGAATTACTGCGATAGAGAATGTGAGTGAAGCGCTCTCCCTATCATGCAGTCAAGTTATTGGTTTTTCAGTTACAACATTTTTTTTCGACGAGGAAATGCACTTGCTAGCAAATGAGATTGCCAAGTCTGATCGACGTTTCAGCTTGATGTCTTACGAAAAATTAGAATCACCCAGTGAGTAGTACGGGAGATATGATATGTACTAAAAGATTTGGTTAAGTGATGGAAGACCAGCCTATCCGCAATTATGAAGATCTCGTTCCTGGCAGGCATCGCAGAAGTGGCAATGAGCGTGTGCACCCAAACAGTTCGTTATCGGCTCCATATACTTTTCCAACAGCTGGCTATATCATTCACTTTCAGAAGTATTGTTATTTTTTGTGTGATTGACATGATTTTCTGGTTCCAGACCTTTACACTGCGTTTTCACGCTCAAAAAGGAGACTTGAAAGGGATTTGCCAAGCTGGATCGATACGGAATCATTGGGGAAGAATGACGAACGTTCATACTGGCAGGACCGTATAAACAATGCCTATCAAAACCTCTCAAAGCCTTTTCTGGTAAGCTGTCACTTAATACCTCATATCTCGAAGCGATAAAATAGCTTTCCAGAACCGGGATCGTGCCTTCTGTGGTCGCACAGCGGTTGCCGAGGGAGTCCAGTCGGAACCTGAACTTGACTCCGGTGAAAGCGCTCCATCACAGCAGCTCTGTGATATCAGCACCGAAATTTTCGGTTTCTCCGAAGCTGAATCCGACGTCGACTGAGGACTCTGTCACTTGCCTATCCGCCATAAATACAGTGATTTTTTGATTTCCCGTTCGCCGTATTTTTGTTGATTTAATTTTTGATTTGTTCTATGTATTTCACAACGTAGCCTTCACGTTCTGGTCTCCTCAAGAGGTGATGTTGACACCTCTGGCAGGTTGTTTGAAAGTATCTCCTGCTCCCGGCTTTACCTATCCTAGGATACTTTGATGTGCAATAGTTGTTTGGAATGTGATTATCAGTAACTGGTTATGCCTTCGTTCACTCGGCTCCAAGTGCTTTTATGAGCCACGATGAGCTACCGGTCGCGGTTTTAATGTTAGTCAGTATATCATCGGTGCGTTGTACCGGCCGTCGTGCCTCGCTCAAGGCCTTCAGGCAAATCCAGGCATTGGCTCCCGGCACCTCGCACCGTCCGCCTCACTCATTTTAGCCTTCGAGGAACCAATTCCGCTTATTTTCTTCTCAGTTCAATGTTTTGTTGTTAGCGTATTCGAATTCTCACGTATACTCGATTTGAAATTATCACACTTTCTGATCTGGCTGAGATTGCTTTAGATATCACTACCCACTTATAGCTGATCAAATGGCCGGTAGTGCGTGCATTTGCGCAACAGTGGTATTTGCTGTACGTTATGTTGTTGAGAAGTTAATCACGTTAGGACACAATATTAACATTTCTCAGGACATCTTTTGTAAGAACTCTCTGTCAAATAATAGACAAATTACATACAATGCATCAATTTAGAATTGAGGAAATAGCCCGTCTTTATTTTTGACTAAGTGGTGTGCTGCTGCGCACATGTAGAATCTGGACGTTGTACTCGTAGTCACCATACCCTTTCTGAATCGCGGTTTGCTGTTTACCTTGTCCCATCCTGATACCGTTTTGTGTTTGTATATGTATCTGTAGCATAATTTTGTCCACTTTGCTCCCAAATTTGGACAAGTTTGTAATCAGTCAGTGTTTCGATTCTCATGAGATATCAGTAAACTTTGTTTTGAATCAAATCAAAATACAAAATGTCTT